AACATGGGTGTGCATATATCTGCTTGGATGTCAGCTATGGTCTCTTCATATCTCCGGAATTTTTATTAGTGATGATAAACCATACGCAACTAATAGTATTTATTACTGTCATTTTTGTAATAAAACTACATAAACTCCACTAATTTCTATTAATAATAAGAACATAGCCATACAGAAGTTAGGCTTTGCTCTGAATATATAGCTAGCAAGTAGAAAAGTTCTGTGTGGGAAATTATGAAGAATATCACCAGTGATGAAATTGAGAAGAAAAGTAACTTGATGTGTATCATGCAGTTCAATGATGCAGAGATAAATGCAGTATCTCTGTGTGGACAAATTTGTGTTGTTGTTGTAATAAAAGGCTTACACAAACAGATGCTTTCCAAAATGTTATACTGTTTCCCAAAAGATCACAAAGCACATTCTCTGAACAGTGTTATCAGGGACTGTACACCATAAGGGGCAGAAGAGGAGTAAAAAAAAAAGACAGTGTTTGAGTTACGAAACATATTATATTAATTATATTAAACTATATTATAAAAGTGACATGTTTGCTTACATAACTAGAAATTTACTTAAAAGTATTTTCCTCTAGGAATTCTCAGTATTGTCTAAGTATCTTTAGTTCTACTCTCAGTAAAAGTTCTTAATATACCTTATGTTCCTTTAAGCATTTTTACATTAACTGTTATTGTTGTTGTTATGTGCCTTCCCAGCATGATGTCCTTCTCCAAGGACCGATCTCTCCTCCCAACATGTCCAAAGTATGTTAGACGGAGGCTCAGAATCCTTGCCTCCAAGGAGCCCACCCGGTTTAAGCCTTTCCAGGACGAATCTGTTTGTTTACTTAGCAGTCCATGGTATTCTCAATACTCTTCTCCAGCACCACAGCTCAAAGGCATCAATTCTCCTTCTATCCTCCTTAGTCATTGTCCAACTCTCTGATGCATAACAAGTGGTATCAAAGACCATGGCCTGTATCAAACACACCTTAGTCTCCAGAGAGACACCATTGCTCTTCAGTACTTTGGAGAGGTCCCTAACAGCAGACTTTACCATAGCAATGCGCCTTTTTAATTTCCTGGCTACTGGTGCCGAGAGTGTTGACTGTGGAGCCAAGCAAACTAAAGCTGTGTACAATCTCAATCTCTTCCCCATCCATCCTGATGCTGCCAGTTGGTCCAGTGGTGAGAATCTTTGTCTTCTTGACATTGAGCCTCAATCCATCTTGTAGGCTGCAGTCCTTGACCCTCTGCAGCAGATTCTTCAGGTCCTCTTAATGAATTTTTATTATTGACAAAAAATAGGTAGAGAATTAATTTCAGAAATGTATTACTTTAATTCTTTTAAGTTCTGCTCCTCTGATCATATTCTGGGCCAAAACTTTTTTTATGGGAGATAAAGAAAAATAGCTAGTGGGGGGGTGTGTGGGGGGTGTGTGTGTATGAATGTATGAGAGACTGATATACTCTATACAGTGGGTAAGATAAGTTTCTTTTATGTTTTGGAGTCCTAACTTGAAAATATTTCTGTGGGAAAATGTCTGCAAAATACTAACTTTTCTACATTCTATAACGGAATGCTGTTGGCATAGCAGGTAGAGAATTGTGCTGCTAGTCAAAGGGAGACCCTGGCAATTTAAAGCCACAAGTGGCTCCCCTTGGGAAAAAGAAACAATTTCCTCTCCTACAATTAATAGCTTATGGAAACCCACTGGAGGACCAACTATGAGTCCGTTATGACAATGAGTTTGAGTATTTTTATTTTAAATTATTAGTCAAAGAAGCAATATTAATTATTGTTGTTTTCTTCATTAGTACTTTACATTGTATTTGATGATCTGAAAAAATATTCATGGGTTATTTATGACACAAGAAGGAAAGAAAATTAAAGTGCGTATATGTGTATATGCGTATATGAGCTCTTAAGCAGTTTTTGCTTGTACCTTCTAAATTTAATTGGCAAATATTTTCTCACTTCATGGTGGGTTTCATAGAAACATTAAAAAATATTATTCTATCAGAAAATGTTTTGTTGATCTTTTGCAGCAATGGAAAAGTTTATGCAACAATGAATGAATAAAAATCTAACTTCTGTAAACTTGCATTAAAATAAAAATTAAACAGTTTATTCCTGTTTTGAAAATATGGGCATACAATTTTTAGTGAATTCTAATCTTTAGTACTTTGTTTTATGAATAATACAGTAAAAAAGGCAGAGTATAACATTGTTAGTGGAAAAATTAAATTTTATAAAGAACTGATGTTCTCTCGAGTTTTCTGAAATCTAGATCACTTCTTTTTCATCATTGTGCCTCGATTATGAAAATTCTAATTTTTTCAGCCATGCAAAAAAAGCCAAAGTACTTTTCCGTGTAACTAGATGACTTGGGATATTTTTTGTAGCTTACGGCATTGACACAGGTTTATGGTGTTTGATTCCCTTATCCTTAACTCTCCCCTCAAGTTCTTCCAGGGCTTGGGGTATGGGACACTCTTTAGTTCACAGGATTTTAGATTTGAGGATTTAACTCCTTATTCTTTAAATTTGAGAATTTTCCTTGTCATAAAGCAGTATTTTTTGACTCATATGTTTGTGAATGAATATTCTTCTAACACTCTTCTGGATATTTTTAGGTATGCCTTACATTTTCTTGTACAAAGTGGAATTTCCTACTGTATCATGATCATAATAGGAATGGAAAACATGCACACGTAAGTACTTGGTTTGTTCATATTTGATGTACATTAGACTGTAGTAAAATTAGACATTAATAATAAAATATCAGTATCCGTTAGTCTCCTATTTACTTAATTCCTTGAAAGTAGAATTTTTCATCTGCTGAAATAGTGGTATTTTGGTAAAAGGCAAAAGATTTATATGATCTGAGGAGAAACCAGAGTCTTGAGCTAGTGACATTTTGGGATAGATTTAGCAGCATTCTTGGCCACTAGATGCCAGTAGCACCTTCCTTCAGTTCTGACAGCTTTGAATATTTTTGTTTTGAATAATTTTTGTTTTGTGGTAGTGCTTTTAAAATTGTGATTTTAACAAAAATTTACAGAAAGGTTGGATTTTCATTTGTTCATTCATTTATTTATGCACATTTTCTTCCTTTCTCTCTCTTACCCCTCTCCCAGTACACTTTGTTATGCACTTCTTGTTATACATATAATGCCTAGTTTCCTTTCAGACAGTCCTTTGTTTCATCTTTTCCAGTGTAGTGTTCATTATCAAGCTACTCTTTTCCTGTTCTTAGGGTTAGAGTTGCTCTTGTTAAGAACAGTTAGTTGAGAGTTTAACACTAGTTGTTGTTGTTGTTATGTGCCGGTGAGTTGCAGGCGACTCATAGCAACCCTATGAAGGAGAGTCCTTGATGCTTGGGTGCCTTTCATCCTCTCTCCAAGTTCATAGGGTTTCCGGAGGCAAGCTATTATGGAAGTGGACGCCACTCCTCCTTCCACAATGATAACACTAGAGAGTGAAAATTAATAGATTGGAGACAGACTTAGGAGGTAAATTTGAAATGATTTAGTGGTTAATGGGAGTGAAGGTAAGAAAAAAGATTTTATAAAAATATCTCATATTCTTGGTTTAAAAAGAATAGATGGAGTAGTTTTTTGTGGATAGAGCATCTTAGAGTGGGAGAACTTGTTCAGAGTATAAAAATCTCAAATGAGTATATATGTTCAGCAGCGGGTATGTAATTAACTCTCAATATTGACTGAATAAATGACTGTGAAACTAGGAGCTTGGGACAAAGATCTGGGCCTGATATACAAATTTAGGGGTTGCGTTTTATAAAAACTGCTTGGTTGTACCAGAACTTTTAACCACTTCTTCCCAATGTCATCATAACTGTGGAAGTGCATCGGGAATAGACCTGAATTTTTAAAATTTGAATTAACTAGAATTATAACTAGAATGAGACACAAAATACAGGATGAGGGACTGCTAGACTCTCTTTCAGAAAACAAGGGCAGCATGATGTGCTCTGAGTGGATTTATCACCTGAGTTAGGTGCTGGCTGGCACTGTCATGTTACCAGCTAACCATATGGAAACTATTTAAGGTCCCCTAGCTAAAGAATGGTAGACATGAACCCAAATTTGTTCTGCTCCCATAACTATTTTCATTCCTTCAGGATAACCATGCTGTTTTAAGTAATACAATTTCCTTTGAATGAAACTCATTCACACCATCTGTCACAGGCCATTTAACATTTGTCTCTGCTTCTGAAATAGAAAAACTGTTCCTGTTAATGGAACCCCAGATAGCACCACCCAGAGGATAATCTTCTTGAGACACAGGCTGAGGAGAAGTGAACTTCTTTCTGTTGGCGTTGACCTTGTACTCTGCTGTGTATGTGCACTTCTGATAACTTTGAGGGGGAAAGTTGGCAGTTTATCTTTTCTATTTCTGATCATTTTCCTATCCGTCTGTGCATTTTGATGTCTGGAAAGTAGCTACTGAGAAGCCTGTTTGTTGGAATCTGTTGAATGTAGAGAACAGAAGAGCTTCTCTGACACTACTGTCTCTTTGTAATAGAAACTTGAAGCTTGCATACTTTAGAAGAATGACTCTTTAGAGAATGCACCATCCCCTGTATCCTTGTACTTGGGCCCTTCCCTTTCTGTCAGTTACAAATACCTAGGTACTTTTCCTATATGTGTTGCATATACTTCCTATGTTGATTTCCCATCTTATGCTGCAAGTTTCTTTTTTTTTTAATTATTTTGTGTGTGTGTGTGTGTACCGTCAAATCAGATCTGACTGGTACAGGAGGAAATTGTCCCTCCTTCCCCGGCAGAGCATCTGGTGGATTCGAACCATGCGCCTCT